GAGCTTGCTTGTCTCCATGGAGATGTTATAGCTTTGCTTGTAATGTTCCAGAGTATATTATACTTACCGATCACCATGAAGACAAACGTGTGATGCCTTTAGGCCAAATGATGGGTCAGATCTTTGAGTCAAGACTGTTTTTTTTTTAAAGGTATTTGGAGAAAAAAAAAAAAAATCAAAGAAATAACATCACCACCAGAAAAGGTATACACTGCACCTTTAAGAAAATTGCACAGATTTGAAATACTTAGAAAATTTTTTAAAATCCAAGTACAAATTTGGCGATCTGAAGTATATTATTTACTGACATAAAATAACACTCACATTTACACTTACGCTAACAACTGCCACATGTGCCTAAACCAGCCCCACATTTCCTGCCTGACTTTTAAATAGGTCACATGTTTTCTAATGGCTTCATCAGTATCTCCACGGTGACAGCTTTTGCATTAGGGAGGCCTCTCATCGACACGTTTAGCCCCTGTGCGTCACCTGGATGTGTTCGGTAGGGAGCGATGCCTCATGGGAGAGCGCAGTTGCCATGACGAAGCGGACAGTGATGTCAATGGAAGCAGCAGGGGTTGCACACAGGTCACAGGGATGATGATTAGATGAGCCTTATGTCAGGATATGGACATTGCAGTTTGGGTATCTTAAGGTTAGTTTCTATTTTGAGTTTGTAAAGCATATTTCTGTTCTTTAAAGTATAATATTAACAATAATACAACAATAACACCTATTCTAAGCTTTTCCTTCTTTTCTGCCCCATAACTTCTTCTGATTTTCCGACTGATTTGGTACAGAATTCAAACTTACAATTCCTTGTTGCTTGAACAATACTTGCAATTAGGGATGCACCGATCCGGCACTGCTATGGGATATCGGCGCCTGATATCGGCTTCCAAATATCAGTTCAGTTGATATTCTGAATGGCCATATGAATTGATGTAACACAACTGTTTACTGGTAGTAGTCGGCCCAGAAATTCTCAGAATGTCCTTTTTCTACTCTTTACAGACACTAGTAGTCCACACTAAGCTTGTTTTTACTCTTCTAGCTCAGTGATACATTGGTAACCTGGCTACAGTGAGTGCAGGTGGCGAAGTTTCAGTGTGTGAGGTAATATTAGTCTTCTGAAAAAAAAAAAAAAAGAAAAAGTTCTTGGAGATGTTGTTGTGGGAAAAAGTGCTGTGGGGGACACTTTGTTATGTGTGTATCCTGGCCAGTCGTGCTCTGCCTCTCTGAGCTGAAAATGCTCAGACAAATTCCCTTGGCAGAAATACTTCGAATAGCAACTGTGACCATGTTTCTCCCTGTGATTTTGTGTGTGTGTGTGTGTGTGTCATTACAATGCATGGTTTAATCTGTGTCATACTAATTCACCACAGATCTATACAGTGTTGTTTGGTATTGTATGCAGACAGTGTTCAATCTTTTATGTCTAGAGGTACCTGAACATTTCCCAACAGAATATTTTTCAAGTCTAAGCAGGGTCACTTGCATGGATGGTTGGTATTTTATGAGGCCATAATGTTACATTTCTGTCATATTTTAAGTTTAGGAAAATGTGAACTGTTACTTTATTTAACCCTTAAAGGTTGTATAGAGGATTTTCCAAGGAACGAGAAATCCAGCGACTGTTTGTCCTTTTTCAAATGTTGCGCATGCGTGAAACCACCCCCCCCCCCCCCACAGCTCCCTACGTAGAAACGCCTCCTTCCGCCTCATCCTTCCGCCAGAAACCGGTGCGCTGCACATGACTTGTAAACAACTAACTACAGTGTTGGTTAGGCATGGCGGAGAAGTGAGGAGCGGGGGGAGGGAGGGGGTGCGCGGATATTTTTGTGCGCGGACAAGAAGTGAGAAGCAGGGCGAAGAACGGAGCGGAGCGGGGAGTGAGGAGAGAAGAGAGGAGAGGAGAGGAGAGTGGAGCGGTGCGGTGCGTGGAGATTCCGTGAGGAGGAGCAGGGAGAAGAGCGGAACGGGCAGAGAGGGGCGCAGAGAGGGGGGCGCGGAGATTCCGTGCGAATGAACTAGCTACTACTACAACACGCAGCAGCAAGCGGACTCTTTCTTTGCCTTGAAAATTAAGTTTTCAGACATAGGATATCGCATTCGTGTCCTGAAAAACGTTTGTCTAACTCTTGGAAATAAAGTACGTTTTCATAATAAGCAGAAGTTACCTGTCCAGAAGTAATTTGGAGACCAGTGCGTCAGTCTTTAGACCCTGTGTCTGCTTCAGTCGCGCCATCGCTGAAATGAATCTTCAAGAATCACCTTAGTTTGGTTTCGCTGCTTTTCCCCTTGCCTTCTTCTTTCAGCGACCTCAAAAACGGACTTTGTTTTGGGGCTAACTGCTCGTAGATTCTTGTCTGCCATTGCAATAAACTTTGTGCTAACTGCGAGGAAGATATAGGTCAAAAAAGCCGCTAAGAACTGTTGCGTTGGTGGAGTAAACAGCGTCTGTGCGGCTTGCGTCTGTGGACTGTGTGACAGGCGTACGTAAACCACGTAACGGCAGCGCGCAGGCAAGTCAGTTACGCTAGAAACGTAGGGAGTTTGATTGACAGCCTGTCAACTAACAGATAACAAGGCAGTGTCGTTATCTATTGGCAAATGTTTAGCCCCACCATGTCCAGAGTTGATGAATTTTTATTCTCTTTTTTTTGGTCATCATAATTACAAGGCTACTGCATTTCTATCTATTGCTATCATTGACAATTTGAAACAAAAAAAAACAACAAAAAAAATCCTCCATACAACCTTTAAACATACATGTATGTTTTATGGTGAGAGGGGTTCTACCATCTGCTTTGTCTCCACTGGGATGTTATTGCTTCCATAGTATGGCAATACAATTGTATAGCTAGCATTTATGTCATTAGAGGTGGTTTTAATGCTAAAATTACATTGACATGCATTCTCACTGTAGATTCCTTTCCCAAGTCCCAGTAGATTAAACATGTAACTGGTGACGTCATCTGCTTGTCTCCATGGAGATAGGTATGCTGTACTGTGGAACAATGACATCTCTGTGGATACAAGGTGGTGTATCATCTGCCAGAAAAGTTAAAACAGATTTTAATGCATGGATATAACATGTCTTTTGATACTGTGAAACTTCCCAATACACAAAAAATATGCAAATGAGGTAACTATGGCAACAGAGTAGTCGGCTGCTTTGTGGCTACCTGACTCACACACTGAACAGTTTCTTTCCAGAGGAAATACTCAGACCTTCCAGAGGAAATATATTGAGCGAAGGGACAATTTTATCTATGACCAAAACACCAGAGCGGAGAAAGACTGAGGCCTTTCCTGGGACACTCTTGGCTCTTCCTCTCCTCAAACTGCCCTGATCCCATGGGATCTGCAGACCTTTAACAGAGGCACAAAGGCGACTGAGGTGTGCAGAGTAAATGTTGCTGCAGCAAAACTTGAATTTCCCTTGAGATCAATAAAGTATCTCTCTCTCTCTCTCTCTAACTCTACAGAGTGTAATTGGCCAAAAATGACTGGAGCAATTATGCACTCAAACTAATGACATGCAAATAGAGCTATGGCATCCTTCTCTCCATTCATTTGGATGACTGACTTTTTTTTATTCTGCCTACCAAATACTGACAGATCTTTCACTGCACAATGGAATCAAAGCACTATACCTGCTGAGATTATCTCCCCCAGGTCTCACAGATCTCACTATTTTCTGCCTCACAGTGATACAGTTACACATTTCACCAGGATAAGCCCTATACAGAGCTGCAGTATACTGTGAATCAATGCTTAAGAATCAAAATCCTTTTACTATTCTGAACATATTCCAAAAATTTAAAGCACTGTGTTTGCAGAATCATAGATGTGTAGAGCAGTCAGTAAATTATATTACTATATTGCTCAATTAGAAGTAGATGTAGTGGTCCAGGAAATTAACCAAATAAGAGTAAAACTGGATTCAGGGAAACTTCTAATCAAGTAAGAGAAACTGCAATAGCAACTGTCTTCTCTATTGTTTGAAGTCAATGTAATTTGAAGGACGAAACAACATTAAATGATGCACAAAATCAGGTATTTTCAAAACTAAATTATATCTAAACTGAGTAAATGTGCATGAGTACTAGCCTCCTCTATGCATAATGTTATTTTAGCATAATTAGATAATGGTGATATTAGCCTGGTTCCTATGGCAGTGTGGAGAACCATCTTTGCAGCAGCTTTGTGATAGTTGCCCTGCTCTGTGTGTGGGTGGTGCTTCCTGCTCAGATCGAGTTTGTGTTTCAGATCTGGTTCAAACAAACGGTCCTCAGTAAACAGCAAGCTTCTGATGACAATGTGCAGTTATGCCTGGTTTTGTCCTTTTGTTTTACTATTTTTGTTTAGGTACATTTGAAAGCTTGTTTGGATGTTTTTTGGAAAATATATGTGGGATGTGGACACTTGTGAACATATTTTTGTGGTAGTCTTGACTTAATTATGCTAAAAATACATTTGTTGTTTCAAACCAGACCACCTCATTGCTATGTGGTGATTTCTGAATACAATACAACATTTGATACACTTGATTTTTTTCCCGTAAGTGGAAAACAACAGTGGCTAAATGACAAACTACATCTCACAATAGCTGCAGTTTCCAAAATTGTGGAAACTCTGCACTGCCTCTCTTATGAACCCGATTAGAAGCACCATGTAACCAAATCCTAATTCATTTTTATTACATATGTTGATTTAATGTAGTCTATAATTACTACATCAACTATATTGTTCAATACATGACAGATGGAACTATTATTTTTGTGGGTCTATATTTATCATGGGCACTTTTTCTTTGTACTACTGTGAAACATTTTGCTTTTCTTGCTTTCAGGGTTATCATGTCCGTGGGATAATGGCATTCAGCATTATTGTTTATAGCCTGTATTTACTTCTACAATATTGTTCTTCAAAATTAGTTATGGTGACAGGCCTAATTGAATCTATAAATTGTACTTTTGCTTTTCTTTCAGGCTTCAAGTGCCCAGTCTGCTCCAAGTTTGTCTCTTCGGATGAGATGGACCTGCACCTCGTCCTGTGTCTAACAAAACCTAGAGTCACATACAATGGTAAGATTTCAGTTACTAAACATAGATCAAATGAAAGCACTGCTGTATTTCTTTTAGATCAGGAAATCACCACTTCCTTGTATTGTTAAAAAAAAAAAAAAACAAAACGGAGATCGAATGATACTGCCTTTACACGTAAAAGGCATTTTGTCGGATGTGAATGATAAGGAAGCAATTGGCAGGAACAGACAATTTTATTTTATTGGAGACATTTTTGAATGAGAGCCATGTGGATGCCTCTGATTATTCAAGACTGTTGTTTGTCATGGTTTATCATTGAAGAGGTTAAAATCTGGCAGGGCTTAAAGTTCATTCAGGTTTTTTACTCATGATGATGCTGTGTGGTAGTACAGGAGGTGCTCCACTGTGTTTTTAAACTACATACACCTTCATTAGAGTCATTTGGATAATTCTCATCCAGGAATTGCTAGTCTCTGCTGAACTAAGGGTAAAGGGTTGCTGTTAACTTGAAGCTGCCGTTTCATGACATCACAAGTTGAAACAGCATGTTGAGCTTTAGAGATGTAGACAGACTAATAATAAAGGGTTACTCAAACATATGTGAATGAAAGAAAACACAACACTTGGTATGTTTTTGATGAGGTAACTACAAGCACACAAGTCAATTTTGCGAAATATTGGACCTTAAAATTTTGACAGTGTATTTGGTGTGTTCTTTTCAAAAATATTTCATGGTTTCTTGATTTAAATTAGAAATGCGTTATAATGACATGATCAACCAACTGTTTACATCAGTCTCAAATGAAAGCAGACAAACCAAAATACTGTTTTAGCCTGATTGAACTCACAGGGTCTGCATTAGAGAGCCGGCTCCTGCCCTTGTTACGCCTGGCTCCAGAGTCAAATTCAATCTCACAAAACCACTTTACAAGACTTAATTTCCCAGGTGTGACCCAAAGTACAGCGCATATGTACTACACTTGCACTTTCTGCCTGCCACTATCCGTTTTATGCCCACAAAAACAAGCAAAATCACTCCAACTGGAGACCAACTTCTGCCATTTTGGACCACAACAATTACATAAAGGAGATATAAAACTCTCTGAGGACTTTTTTCCAGCGCCCTGGTTCTCAACATTTTATTACAGGGTGAATGAGCGGCTCTATCAGATTGGGTCCCACCTGCAGATTGGATGGTCTAGTCACACGTATTACCACATGACCTTTACTCAATCTGGACCTTTATGGCAGTTCATTACAAAAGCACTTTTATAACACTAACACATTTGCATGACCTACCGTGGCTCCAATCTCTACCTGACAAAAAATGGTTGCTGCAGTAATGGCTGATTATTAAAAATCATATATGCCTATTGTTACTATTATTTCTGTTATTATGTAACCAGATTTAAGCCTCAAATGGAGTGATATTGTCTATAATGCAGAGTTAAAAAAGAGACTTTCTGGGCCAAATACGACCAGTAAATTATACTGGGCCAACTACGAATACATGTAAATAGTCAAATTACATATATTTATATTTCCAACCAAGAAAATTTTCAGTATCAGAGCAGATATCCAATACTAGTATCGAATTAGTGCATCCTTCGTCATTTTAATCAAGTCTGTATAGGGGTTAATGATTTCATTTTGGACAAGCTCGTGGTATTTCCTGATGTGTACTTTTCACACAGCTATTTAAAATTGTCATTTATTTATTTGTATTTATTTAAAATAAGGACAATGCACATTAGTCTCAGAAAGAAAAGATGCTCTGTGCCAGATTTAGCTACAAGCTACTTTCTATCTGCAGTTCTTGGACAGGTACAAAATACAAGAAACTATTTACATTAGACCAACAGCAACATTTCATCAGTAAAAGTGACTCCTTAAAATGATCACTATCCAATTCATCATTAAACATTTAAAACTATCAAAATGTATTTATTCTAATTTCCACAAATACACAATTTCAGATCATTATTATCAGATCATATCATTATCTTCTAAAAAGACTCAAATTCATTGTCATCAATATCCTATAAAATGTACACTTACCAAATTCAGTATTATTATCCTCTAAAATACAATTCATCAACAACATGACTATCAAGCAAATGTCATACATCAAACACAGTATATTTACATCTACACAATACATCTGTAGTACAATCAGTCACAATGTTTAAACTTTTGAAGAAGCCCAGTGTTGACACGCCTACTTCTCAGAAGCCATTGTTTTAGCCCATGACAGAAAGTGTGGTAGTTGGTGCAAGTTTTTAAGATCAGCTGGAAGTGTGTTACAGTTTGTTTGTTTTTTTGTTTTTTTTGCTGCTGTATATGAGAAAGTCGACTGGCCCATGACATAATGTTTAAAGGGAATGGTCACATCAGGATTTACAGGTGAGGGAGATGAGCAAGAATACTGCTGCAACCACTCGCCCATAATCCAATTCAGATTTGATCTTTTCAATAAAATAACAACAAGCAGTCGCTGTTGAATAGCTGCTCTTAAACCCGAATTGCATTGGGTGGAGTAGAATTTCACTATTCAGATATGCCACAAGTTGTTCTGCTACTATCTTTTCAATGACTTTAGAGGCAGCAGGCCTGTAGTTGTTGACCTCTGTTTGTCCCCACTTTTATGGATTAGGATCACTATGGCTGTTATAAAGGCAGCAGGGAATATACTGTCTTTAACGACTGATTGATAATGGTGGTGATAGGATAAGTACAATAAGTAGAATTGGATTGCAGCACAAACATTTGTCCCTGCTGTTGTGTTCCAGTCATGTGAACCAGGACATTTCACTCTGCACATGTTCAGCCAAAGTGTGGATAATGTTGCTTCACTTCACTTCATGTCTTTGGAGCAGGAAAACTCTATAAAAACATGTTGTATCAACACAACAGCTTGTCTTCAGTTTCCTCTCACTATGAAAAAATAACACTTTATCTATGTATGTCAAATTAATCAAACCATCAAAATAAACCTAATGTATGTTATGATTAAAAGTCCTTGTACCCAATATTTTTTTTCTATATATATGAGTAAAATTTGCCTTGCCCCAGTACAGATATATTGTATAAGCAGTTCTTCATAATAAACCCACTGTGTGCTGCCTGAATCTGATTATAAAAGAGTTTGTCTGAGAATCAGGAAGTGTATGGTTAGCATGCTAGTTATTAGCATTACTGTGATGGCAAAACTCCACTCTGGCCTCTGATAGTTGTGAAAAGTGCTTATAAACTCATTGCGGGGAATAATTCGGAAGCACATAATACATATGGTAATTATTAGGAATAGCTTAGAACAGCTGTTAACTGTAGCAAATGAACTCCTTCTGCTTCATGTTTTTAAGTTAAAATCAGGTGCATCTCCCCTAAATACAGTTATACTCAAGAAGTGTAACAACAATTACAAAACGCCACTCAACATGTTTCTCTATAAGGGTTCTGGTTTCAGTGCAGTTTCCTCTGTCTTCCTGTACAGATGGGTCAAGTTCCTGTTTCACGTCCTATTTTAAAGTCATGTGATTGCATTAGTTATGCTACACTGTTTTGGTCCACTTAAATCAGCTCATTGTTGTGCATGCGTGTGCAAAATGAACTCAGTCAATATGAGGCAACATCTGGAGGTGGTGATGGAGCACAAAACTCTAAAAATAATGTCTTTTTAATAGGCTTGTTAAGTTTATGCTTGGTATATGCTTATAGATCTTAATACAAGTGTTTTGACTCTTTGCGAAACATTTATAAAGGTACAGTTTGGCACATTTTGAAGTGTGATATATGACAATAGAAATATTAATAGAAGCAGGAATATCAAAGACCACTTTATACACTGAAACTTAACCCCATGACAAGTACAAGTATGCACTACATGTACCCATACCGTAAGATACCATATGAACTGCACTTTCTCTGACTCATCACATTTAAAAATTATTACATTTTTACAGTCCAAAACCCTTGGTAGTACCTGTAATAAGTCATGGTTTTGTTCATTTAACCATCTATGACACATGTTGACATAATGCACTTAGGAGACATTGAACAACAGCCTGATGTTGTAATTACCGTAACAACTTTAGGCACAGTTAGAAGTTTTAAAACACATTTGTTTGTAGTCCTCTTTTAAATCCATATTTTTTAGCCTGACAGGCACATACTATGAAGTCTATGAAGCCCAATAGTTGTTTTACCCTTAGGGCAATGCATTGTAGATAAATTGTTCCTGGTCTGTAATAGCCTTTGAGCTGTTACACAACAACTTTTGAAGGTCTATTTTGCATTAAATACAAATGCATCTTTATGTTGAGAAGAGAGCTCATTGGAATTCATTTGACTAACTTATTTGTGTAATGGTAATACTGAAACATCTTTATATATTTATACTTTATAAATGGTCACATTTTTCTAGAGCGCTTTTCCACCTTCAAGGCACTCAGAGCGCTTTACAACAAGGACACACATTCATACACCAGTGTACGCAGACACTGTGGGCAAGGTGGGTGAAGTGTCTTGCCCAAGGACACAACAGCAGCATTCATCTGTGGGAGCTGGAACCACACCAGCCAACCTGTGGGTCAGTGGATCTGATCACTCAACCTGTGATGTTTTTTTTTTTTTATGTCAAGATTCGAACCACCAACCTTCAGATCAGTGGGCAAATGCTCTACCAACTGAGCTACTGCCGCCCAGGACATGTTTATTTATGTTTTGGCATGACTTCTTTTCATCGGTTATTATTATTATTATATGTGTTTGGTTTTTGTAGTAATTTGAGGTTTGCCTTTTAAAATGCACACACAGTAAAAAGCATTTTATTTGTGATAAAAGTTGACTGTAGGTGTGTGGGATTTTCCCACTTGCAGTGAAGTAAACACTGTAACAGTAAAGTTTGTTTTGGACACATTTTGCTGACATCATTTTATGGACCACATAACCTGTGTGTTAGCTAACCATTCACTACAACCTTTGCTCACAACAAACTCTCTATAAAACTACACACTTTTAAGATTAACCTTTTGAACTAA